AAAATTTGAAATCCAATGGTTCATATTTCTTGGAGAAACAGTTGTTCTTTTTGAAATTTCAAGGTTTACTTTATGTTCAACAACGCTTCTATTGCACAATTGAATTCTGAAAGTTATGGGTTTCTGATCTAAAATTTGATTTCATGTATATTGAAGTCAATATCACTGACAAATTTGGGATTCCAAGGATTTCATTTTTCTATTGTTGTCATAATCAGTCATTAAGAATGAAAAAATCTCTAAAGACTATAATGTATTTACTTTATTCTCACAAATTAATTCAATGTGATAACTCAGTAGGGATTTTAAGATAAATGGCAATGTCTCAATGGTACTCTCTCAGTAGAAACTATGAGAAATGAGTAACTTCCTTAAAGAGCTCCTGGGAGGTCTTCTGTTTATTCACAACACTATGCACTATTAATCTTGTTTGTGACAAGAGAGGAAGTTGGTGTGGCCTTGCAACCTAAGCTATGAGTTGCATATGGACACTTACACCAGTTGTACAATTCGAAAGAAGCCTATGAACTTAAAGTTCAACAAGTCTATTATGTGAAATTTATGGATGATTCACTGTATACAGTTTCCGAACTCCTGTACAAAAAGCTGTGATATGTTTTTCCATGACTCTCTATAGAATGCCCACTTTGAGTGATGTCTTATATAACTGTTTACATTAATATTGCATTTTAGGCCAAAAACTATTAGGCAATCAAATTTAATTTCTGCAGATATATATATATGCACACCACTTAATTACAGAGATGAATGGCCTTGTCTAGGAACACTATCTATGCTCCTGTGTTAAGCACCCCAGTTATTAATTCACCATCTAATATTAGATCATAAGTCATGACATTTTATAATAAGAAACAAGCAGAGATGGGACATTTGACCAATTGTGGTACATTCTTTTGTACAGTTAATTAAGGAAGGAAAAACAGGCATTGTATATTCACAGAATAATTATTTAATATCCTAAACATATAATTCCTGCCTATATAATTTCGATCTTAATCATAGCTCATACAACGTTATCAGGCTGTCACTTTTAGGTATTTGACACATTATATGTTTCAGCGAAACTTTCAGTGTCTAGGTATCATGTAAACTGAAGTGTAATATTCTGACCCTTTCCCCATTGTATTGAAGCCCAGTGTTATAATAGTTGCAAGTGTCTTTAACAGAAAACTATGTGGTAGATTTACCCCATATATATGTTCCTTTTGGATATAAATCAATTTAACAAATTTCTAAAAGAAATTTTCTTATCTAGCTACCTATTGTAAGGAGAAAGGGGATAAAGAGAAGTTCATGTTTTCTCTTAACAAAAATATACAATCAAAAGATTTGGTACTGGTCCTAAGTACAAGGAGATGACTACATTTTATGTCAGAAAATCAGTAAAAGAAATGTCTTGGAGGATGGGAGAAGTTGCTCTGAGATGGTTACAGGAAGGATATTTATGTTTGTGTTCAGGAAGAGGAGAGAAGAAGTCTAGAGAGGGGTTTCTTCATAAGCACAATTAGCATATTTCACAATTTAGAGAATCTCGGCCAGGGTTCCCTTGATGAAATAAATCAAGGGATTTATTTGAGAACAGAGTAGAGCAGAACACAAAATAGAAAAAAAATTAGGGCATCCCATGTAATGAGAGGACCTAAGATATGAGCACAAACCTTGAGACTAGAAAATGATTGCCATGTTTTGAAAACTGCTAGAATGCCAATGTGGCTGGACTAGTGATCCAGAGAGAGATGTGGAGAGGAGTCTGCAGTGGAAAACAGGGCCGTTTGAAATGACAAAACAAAGAACTATCGTTCTAGAGTCTTGTTCCACTACAACCAGTTGAGTGAGCTCAGGCAATTCATCGAAACTCTTTGTCAGTTCCCTATGGCCATTGAGTGTCATCTTTATGTTGAAATAATTGTACCGGACACCAACACACTAGTCAGCGATGTTGAATCCTCCCCCAGGTAAGAGGAGCACAAAGTCAATAAAACCCTCTCTCTCCTTCACTGGAATGTCTTCGCTCATGCCTTTCTATCAGTGGGAATGGAAACACCAGTAAAAGAAAGCTTGTCTAATAAACTCTTCCTTACTAATTAAGTTATCCAGAGTATTTTCTACTAACTTCCCTGGAACTTAGGGAGAAGGAAGCTGAGGCAACCCAGAGAAATTTTTGTTTTATCAGCTGCACTAACATTGTGA